CCCGTGGGGTACCACGCCTCCGAGCTGTCCAAACTCTGGGCGATGGGCAGCAGCGACTCCTTGTTGATGCGCGGGTACCTAAAGCGCCACACGTACCATCGAGGACGTTCAGGTGCGACCGTGTGTGTGTGCATATACAGTGGAACTGCTCTACAACAAAAACTACATGGGCAAAAATACCCCCTAGTGTGAAAAAAAATGTTCATGCATGAAAGCCAATCCCACTTTTCCGCTCCCCCCCTACGATGAAAAGTCCGTTATACGAAATTTTTTTCACAAGCCCTGCACCGTGAGGTCGACGCGCTAACCACGAGACCGCCGGGGCCGCCTGTGCGCTTGCTACAGTGAAAAGCCCCCCCCGTTGTGAAAAATCTCTTGCCGCAAACATGATTTTGTTGTAGAGGAGTTTCACTTGTACGTTGCGTGCGCACGTCTGGACCTGCTCTGGTTGAAGGTGTGTATCCTGAGTCGGTGATGTTTGTACTTCTGAAGAATCTTCCTGGTTTCTTGGTCCGTGTTGAAGGAGTTCATCAGCACGAGAGGGACGTCGGCATCGTAGGTCTTGTTCAAATGCTGCAAAAAAACGGGGCGCGCGCACTCTTCACAAGCCCCGCACCGTGAGGTCGACGCGCTAACCACTAGACCGCCGGTGCATTTGCTACAGTGAAAAGCCCCCCCTGTTGTGAAAAATCTCTTGCCGCAAACATGATTTTGTTGTAGAGGAGTTTCACTTGTACGTTGCGTGCGCACGTCTGGACCTGCTCTGGTTGAAGGTGTGTATCCTGAGTCGGTGATGTTTGTACTTCTGAAGAATCTTCCTGGTTTCTTGGTCCGTGTTGAAGGAGTTCATCAGCACGAGAGGGACGTCGGCATCGTAGGTCTTGTTCAAATGCTGCAAAAAAACAAAAACGGGGCGCGCGCACAAAAAGCAACAAGGAGAAGGAAGGAGGCCGGGGGGGTGAATTGGAGGAAAAAGGAGGACGACAAAACACAAGCCCCGTGGTCTCGCTGACCTCGATCTGCTTGACGGTGAGGTCGAGGAAGGTGTTTTCGTTGCGCACGCTGATGAGACTCTTGGGGCCTTTGCAGCCCATGCTGGTGCCCAGGCCGCCGTTGAGCTTGACCACCGCCAGCTTGTTGAGGCACGCCGCCACGTCCGCCGGCACGTCGGCCGCCACCATTTCCTCGTACGCCACCACCTCAACAACACAGGAGCTTCCATCACGCGGGGCGGGGGCTTTGTTTTTCGATCCGCCGGGCGGGGCCGAACGATGAATCCATTTCAAATTGACGCGGCAATTTAGTGGTTGGGCTCGAATTTGGATCAAAACGTCAATGATGATTTCGATTTTTGGATTCTTTCGGTCTTTAAAACGAAAGAAAAACTGCGTGTGCACTGCGCATTTGCACTGTGGTTGAAACAAGAACATAGTTTAATACAAACCATGCTTTGGTTTGAAAACATCGCTAGCGCTAATGCTAAAGTCAATGGAGGATCGCGTATGCAAATGCAAAAATTTGCATGGACTTCGAGAGTGGCAGTCCGACAAATAACGAATATTCACAGACAACGGCTGCAGAAACACGTACACAGAGGTAAGCTAACGCTACGCAAAGGCACAAATTCTTCCCAATGTGTGAAGAAAACGATTCCCGTGACTAGAGTTCAATCACAACTTTTTTTCTGTTGGCATTTGAAGTGGCAAAAATAATGCAAAAAAATAAATCTGTGGCTTTATCACTTGGAACTTTTTACAAAACCATGATACGGAAACATGCGGACTACACTTCTCGAGCACTCAACTTATCTCGACACGAGTTAAGTAAGTACATGAAGCATAAATATATACAGTATGTCGAAAAATCAGGCTGGCCTGAAATGATGAAATGGAGTTATTTGTTCAGTCTCAGTTTGGAATTTCGTAAACACACGACGACAGACGACAAACACGGTGAGACGTGGCTCTTGGGCGCGCGCCGCCACCGGACCCGCCAGGTTGCGTCCTGACCCCAGCACGCGTTTCGGCGGGCCAAGGCCAGCAGGTGTTCAAAGGTCTCATGCTCGCCACCCGAACGCGATCGACTATTCCTGGCGCTGACCTTCAGTGGCGCCGCCGCTATTCCAGGAACGCGCGTGTTATGCACGCCGTGTTCATTTAAAGGGCCGGCGCCCCTACTTTTTCTTCACCGCCGAGAGTCAAAATGGACACGCACGCAACAAGCAACCGCGGCGCCATAGTTAAGGATAGAGGTGGATTTGATCGCTCGACTACAATTGTATATGTGTGCGTTTTGATGACGGAGGCTCTCCACGCTGTGCTTTTTCATCAGGGGTTACTCACGGCTTCCTCAGGCGGTCGGCTGATTTTGGCCCAGTCCACTGCAGGACCCTTGACCTGCAGGAACCTGTGGAAGAGCCTCTTGAATCCCTCAAAGTCTTTCTTGCAACTCTGAAAGCATGACAAGACAAAGCAGCGCCTTCAACAGGACGACGAGTCACCGCGTTACTCAAGTCATAAGCTCGCGTCGAGGGAAAAGACACACCAAGCGAGTCTGACATTTGGTCTGAAGCTTCCATTTTATAGTCAATCCCAGGATTCCTTTCATCCCCACAACCCCTCCAAAACAAATCGCCTATTTCACTTCGATGGAGAAAAGAAGTGGGCCCAGAACAGAGCTTTGAGGCGGTTTTGGCGTGACCTTTCCACTGACCTGTGCGTGGGCGTCGCCCGCGGTAGCGGCGAGCTCGTCCAGCTCGCGGCACATGGACTCCTCGTGCTGCTGCCGTAGCTTCTCCTGGAACTCAGTCATGGTTCCTGCGGTGAGGTCTGCGCACAGGAAGTGCACAAAAACAGGAAGTGCACAAAGACACACATTTGCATTTATTTACGTTTGATTTCATTGGAAAAGTCGGATACAAGGTCAGACTGATGGTTGGTGGGCCCCGCAATCATCTGTCAATGAGGTCAAGGAGGCTCTGACACTGACCAACACTCCTGGCCTGGGTGATAATATATCACATATGCTCCACTGCAAAATAAATCTATAAATACATACATGCGTACATATTGTGTCGACCTTCCGTACACAGTACCAGTCAAAAAGTTTGGAAAAACGGCTTCAAATTCACATTTTTTGAGGTCAAGACGATCAAAACTTCATCATGCAGAGATGCACGGACGCGGTTTTAGAACACCTACGATCGTTTTTATTTTTTTGCTAAAAGGTCACAAACAATGCTGGGAAACGGAAAACACATGCATGATATCAACATTAATAACACGGTGAAAAAAAAAGAAAAATACAGCCAAAACTGAACTATGATCGAGCAGAGCTCTATGGGATTAAAACCCTCATTAAAAAAAAAAACATTTTTGGAATCAAGTCATACATTTTCTGCAAAAAAAAAAAAAAGTTTTGTTCTTTCCCACCCCCACACCACCACCAAAAATGATTCCAAAAGCCACGTATTTTTCAAAAGAGAAGTCAAAACGTTTTTTTGGAATGTGTTTCCAAAAGTGAGAGCTCCCTGTTTGACAAAAAAAAAAAAAAAAAAGTTATATCGGCTGTTCAAGGCAGTTTGACTGACCTCTTCGTTCGTCAAGGCCGCACACACTCGTTTTTGGACGCTTCTTCTTTTTCAATTCACGACCTCAACACTCTGCCACAATCACTGACTCAAAAGTCGCCTCACTCCTGGTTGAAAAAGTTAGCGAGGCACAGCGCACTTTTTGAAGAACTTTTTATCCACCGATTTGCTACGGCGTCACGCGTACGCCACCCGCATCGCCTGAGACGGCTCGGTACCAAACCCAGGCGCCCACCCAAACCCCCGCCCCCCCACCCCCGAGCCAGATTCTCATATGCAACGCTGACCGAGAGAGTTAAAGAATCGAAAGAATGACAACCTTTTAGTGATCGGGGGTGGGGGGTAAATAGCAACTCACCCGCCACCGTCAGAGTCGACATGGCGTCACTCACGGCCGCGATTTTTCAGGCTGACGCGCGCACGCCGGCCAAAAGCGACTGAGCGAGGGGGTCACTCAACTCAACTCGCAAGCGCCCAAGGCCTCCTCCTCCTCCTCCTCCTCCTCCGCGCAGAGGAGGATCCCTGATTGACAGCCGTGCCCAATCACGTACAGTGAGAAACAAGCAAACAAAACATATGGGGGGGGGGGGGGGGG